CTTGGGGTGTGTGGGGGGTGTGTGTAGGCTGTACTTCCTCTCCATCTGTAGTCTGTACTTGCCGTGTGTAGGCGTGCACTTATGCAGGATTAACTGACTGCCTTTCAGGCCAGCCCTTCTCATTTCAAGTAGACATTCTGGGCACAGATGCGGATGCTGCTGCACGTGGCATGAGTCTGGTGGCGTGTGCATTAGCAGTCCTGGTGACACAGTGGTTCAGTGCTGGGCTGCTAACCCTAAGGCTGGTGGTTGGAAACATTCTATGGCTCTGTGGCATCGATGAAAACCTGGCTATTTGCTCCCATGAAAGTCACAGCTGAGGAAGCCCTAGAGGACAGTTCTCCTCTGTCCCGTGGGGTTACCATGAGCAGAAAACCAACTAGATGGCACCTAGCAGTGGTAACGATGTAGCCAGAAGGTATTTGTATTATATCCCAGAGCAGCTGCAGCAAAGTCCCAACCTCTTGGTGGCTTAAAACAACAGAAGCGTATTTATTCCCTGACAGTTCTGGAGACCAGAAGTCTAAAATCACGGCAGAGGCAGGCTGGCCCCTCTGTGGGTCCTGACGACCTGCCTCTTCTCCCACCCCTCCCATCTGGTGGTAGTCCGTGGTCCCTGGCATCCCTTGGCTTAGAGGCTCATCACTCCAGCCTCTTCCTCTGTCTCCACATCTTTTTCTTTGATGGCGCGGTGGTAAGAAGCTGTGCTGTAATCCGAAGGGCATGCAGTTCAAATCAACCAGCCGCTCTGTGGGATAAGAATGGTTCATCTCCTCCTGTGAGGTTTACTGCCTCTGAAAACCCACTGGAGGGTCAGCTGTGGGTCAGTGCTGGCTCACCTGTACAACAACAACAACAACAAATACACTGTGCCGTTTACTGCCTCTGAAAACGCACTGGAGGGTCAGGTATAAGTTGGTCTTGACTCAACAAACAACATAAGCGAGCTCTAGTGGCCCTAGTGGCAAGAAGCTGCACTGCAGTCCCAAAGGTTCAAAGTTCGAATACCCCAAATGCTCTCTGCTGGAGATGGAGGGGCAATTTCCTCCTGTGCCAGTTGGATCTGACTTGATGGTATACAACAAGAAGAAAAAAAGAGGGGAGAAAATAACAAACAGTAACAATTTCTCTTACAAGGTGCTTTAGATTAAACTGTGTCCCCTACCTTCCTAAACAGGGGCTGTAAAAGCCAGTCTGTGTAGACCGGACCAACTGACAGCACCATGATAGATGGGGAAGAAAGTCAAGTTGTTAACAATTTCAGCTTGCTCAGCTCCACAATAAACACTCTTGGCACCAGCAGTCAGGAAATCAAAAGACGAATTGCACTGGGAAAATATGCTGTCGGGGATCTCTCCAGAGCACTGAGAAGTCTAGAGACTAAGGCGAGCCTAATCCAGGCCATGGTCTGTGCAATTACTTACTCTGCATCAGAGAACTGGACAATGACTAAGGATGACAGAAGGAGAACTGACGCCTTTGAGTTGTGGTGTTGGAGAAGAGTCTTGATCATACCATGAACTTCTAAGAGAAGAAACGAGTTTGTCTTGGAGAGGGTGAAACCAAGTTTCTCCTTGGAGGCTAGGATTTTGAGGCTCTGTCTCAAATACTTTGGGCACTTGGCCAGGAGGGGCCAGTCCTTAGAAAAGGACATCATGTTCAGAATGGTGGAGGGACAGCGCAGGAGAGGAAGACCCCAGATGAGATGGATTTATACAGTAACGGGGCAGTGGGGGTAGTTGTGTCGGAGTCAGTGAGACTGGCTCTGGACAGGGCAGGTTTCAGAGCTGCTGTACACAGGGTGGCTGTGAGTCACAGGTGACTCAGCTGCACATAACAACAGCAATGTAGACGCAAACTCACTGTCCTTGAGTGGATTTTGACTCCTCTTGACTCCCGCATTGAGTTTCCGGGGTTGTAAACCTTAATGAGACGGAACTGCCCAATATTCCCCATTGAAGAGCCATTGGTGGGTTCGAACCCACAGACCCAAGTGAGTGTGCTAAAGTTCAAAGGTTGTGGTGTGGGAAGGGCTGCCCCTGACATCACTGAAGCAGCCAGGGCAGGGCAGGATGGGGTGCTCCCAGACAGGATAGGGGCTCCCTACAGAAGGAAGGGCATGTCCTAGGGAAGCAGACCCCACAAATGGAGGGTGGAAGGGGGTGTCATTTGACCTCCTTGGCAGGCTGTGGAGCAAGGGGAGATCCAATTGCACTTAACATCTTGAGACATCAGTACTGAGGGAGCGGGGAGAGGTGCTGTGGAAGTCATGGCAGGAAGGTGGCAGTAGCCTGGGGTGGAAGGGTCACTGAGGACAAAGGTGATGAGCCTGGTAGATGTGAACCTCTTACCTTGGGGTTGGCAGTGGAACTCCCTACCCACTAGGCCACAGAGGTCAGAAGCTCACTGTGTGCTGAGTCTCCTGGGGGTCTGAGGGTTTGGTCTGGGGAAGCTCCCTGGGGCTGTGCTAACTCGGGGAGGACAGGTGTGAATGTTCCGCTTTCCCTGAAGTGTTGGAGGTTTTCACTGGAGGGGTGTGTGGGTGTGTGTTTGTGTGTTGTCACCACGCACCAAGGCCACCTCTGTGTCTCTCTCTCCAGGGGACGACCACTTTGGCAGGAGAGTGATCACGTTCAGCTGCTGCCGCCTGCCCCCCTCCCATGAGCTCAACCACAAGCGGCTGCTGGAGTAAGTACCACCTCTGTCTACTCTGTCGCTCCTTCCTCCTTCCATCCTCCTGCCCAGTCACCCGTGCCCGCTCCCTCCCCAGCCCTGGGCGCCCTTGTGAATCTGAGCTGTCATGGGCTGAGTGGTGTCCCCCAGAATGTGCGTGTGTGTGCGCTCGGTTGGACATGATTCTCGGTGTCCCCTCCCTGCTGTGATCTGGTGTAATCTCCCTCCTGGTGTGAATCCTCACCTGAGACAGACAGAGGAGACTGGAATTGTCAGTGATTTCCTCTTACAAGATTCCATAGCCAACACCCATGGGAGCAGAAATCAAGGAATCAAAAGACCTGTCGCACTGGAAAAATGTGTTGTCAGAAACCTCTTTAATGAAGAGCAAGAATGTCATTTCAAAAATCAAGATGTACCTGACCCAAGCCATGGCGTTTTCTCTTGCTTCCTAATGCATCTCAAAGTTGGACAGTGACTAAGGAAGACTGAAGATGAATCAGTGCTTTTGAATTGTGATGTCGGCAAAGAGTTGAGAATTCTGTGCCAACAGAAGAAATCTGTCTTGAAAGAACTGCAACCAGTGTTCACTTCAGAGGCAAAGATGATACAACTTTGTCATGCAGAGATGATGGCTACTTTATCAGGGAGCTCTGGTGGCCTAGTGGCAAGAAGCTGCACTGCAATCCCAAAGGCACATGGTTCGAACCCACCAGCTGCTCCACAGAAGGATGGGCAATCTCTTCCCCTGTGATTAACTGTTTCTGAAAACCCACCGGAGGGTCAGCCATGGGTCGGTTCCTACTCGACAGTACACAACAACAACAACAATGTCAAGAGGTACAAGGACACCGTGCTGGGAAAGCGAGGAAGACCCCGAGTGGGATGGGTTGACACAGTGACTGTGGCAGTAAGACGGGGCATGATGGTGATTGTCAGAACGGGGCAGGGTTAGGCGGCTTTCCGCCTGTTTGATGAGGTAGCTGTGAGTTGCAGTAAATGCGTCGACTCATTACCGGCAGCCGCAGTGATGGTGAAGAGGCAGAGTTAGAGGCAGATGCGATCTACAGAGTCAGCCTCTTGTGACGTAACAAACCCACTGCCACTCGTTGAGGCCATTCTGACCCATAACAAGCCCACCGGACAGAGCAGGACTTCCCACAGGGCTCCTAAAGTGATGATCTTTACAGAAGCAGTCCATCTTAGCTGCCCCTGTGGAGTGGGGGTTGGCTTCAAACCTCCATCCTATAGCTAGCAGGCACTTCTATAACCACTGTGCCCTCAAGTCAGAACTCATTGCCCTTGGGGTGATACTGACCCCCTGAGGTGATGCCAACCCCCTGAGGAGATACTGACCCCTGAGGTGAGGCTGACCCCTGAGGCGGTGCTGACCCCTGAGGTGGTGCTGACCCCTGAGGTGATGTCACCCCTGAGATGATGCTGACCCCTGAGGAGATGCTGACCCCTGAGGCGGTGCTGACCCCTGAGGTGGTGCTGACCCCTGAGGTAATGCTGACCCCTGAGGTAGTGCTGACCCCTGAGGTGATGCTGACCCCTGAGATGATGCTGACCCCTGAGGTGGTGCTGACCCCTGAGGTGGTCCTGACCCTTGAGGAGATGCTGACCCCTGAGGTGATGCTGACCCCTGAGGTGATGCTGACCCCTGAGATGATGCTGACCCCTGAGGTAGGGCTGACCCCTGAGGTGGTGCTGACCCCTGAGGTGGTGCTGACCCCTGAGGTAGTGCTGACCCCTGAGGTGGTGTGACCCCTGAGGCGGTGCTGACCCCTGAGGCGGTGTTGACCCCTGAGGCGGTGTTGACCCCTGAGATGATGCTGACCCCTGAGGTGGTGCTGACCCCCTGGGGTCATGCTGACCCACCGAGGTGGTGCTGACCCTCCTCCGGATATCTGAGTCTATAGTCATGTGGCTGATTAACACAGCATGCCACAGACTATGTCACCAGAGCACCTTCTTTAGAGATACAGAAGAGACTAAACAACAAACAGAGATCAAGAAAGAAGAGTCTAGAGGAGAAGGCATCCTTGAACCCAGGTCTTTGTGCTGAGAAACTCCTAGACCCAGGGGAAGATCGAAACCAAGACACACGAGTTCCCTCAAGGCACCGGTCCATGGACGTTTAAGGAGATAGGGCTTCCTCTCAAAATGGCACAGAGAACAAACTTTCTTTCAGAGCTGGGGTGCTAAATTCTAGTCTCCTAGACTGGGAGCTTGGTGGGTAGTCGCACTGCTCACCCAAAGGCCTCTGCCGGTGCAAATCCAGCAGGGTCTCTGTAAGAAGAGGAGACACCATCTCCGGCCTGGGTGGGCAGCCTCAGAACACCTGCTAGCAGGGGTCTGTGAGCAGTTCTGGTTCGATGGCAGAGAGAGTGCGTGCAGCCGTGAGGAAGGTTTCCTTTGTTAGAGCCGCCTTGTTTGTGTTGTCTGTCGCAGCAGCATTAGAGAACAGATACAGTACTCGCTTGTGGCGTCTATTATCATAGAGAAACTATGGGGTTTTGGAAGGGAGCTCTGATGGCCTAGTGGTAAGAAGCTTGCTGCAATCCCAAGGGCATGGAGTTCAAACCCACTAGCTCTCTTCCCATGTGATTAACTGTCTGTGAACACTGGAGGGTCGGTTTCAACTCGCTGGCACTCAGTAACAATAGGTGATTTTTGTGGGTGAAAGCCAGTTAGTTGGTGGAGCCCCTCATTCATTGGTTTGAATCCCAGACACCATTGTAAGTAACTGACTAGTTCTGAACTTCTGCTGTCATTCCAGATAGTAAGGTGACACCCCCTGGCACGTGACCCTGCATGGACCAGAGCTGACCCATAGGGGTGACCATGAGCTACCATAGAAGCAGAAAGGGAGATATATTTGATTTTTACAATGTGCTATTACAATCCATTTGAATAAGAGTAATATCAGATTAAGGGAGCTCTGGTGGCCTAGTGGCAAGAAGCTACGCTGCAATCCCTGAGGTATGTGGCTTGAATCCACCAAATGCTCTGATGGAGAAGGAGGGGCAATCTCCTCCTGTACCAGTCAGATCCGATTTGATAGTACATGCACAAAAAATAATGAAATAATTTTTTTAAAAAAAGAGTAATATGAGACTAGCTACTCAAACGCCACCATCAAGTCAAGGACAACTCTTAGTGACCAACTGAACTCCGCCCTGTCCTGTGCCGTCCTCATCATCTCCGACTCCCTTGATCCCATTGCTGCAGTCATGTGGGGGTCAAAAGTGCCCCCATTGTTTAATCTGTGAGTCATCCCATTGTTTTCAACATTAGCTGTTCTCCAGGCCCCAAGCCTTGTGTCCTTTTTGGGGGGGCTCGGCAATCTGCGGAAAGGTCCTGGGAAGCTCACGCAGCTCTTGTGGATGTTGCTATCTCAGGCAAGCTGAGAGGGCAGGTCAGAAAGTCCTGCGTGCAAGCTGTTTTGATGAGAACGCTGGGGCGTAGACCTGGCCCCCGTGGGGAATGAGGGCTGGCCATGTGGACCATTCCTTGTTAGCAGTGCAGGTGGGGTTGAGGCAGCTCCTTCAGACTGTATTGTCCCAGGTGAGCTGGAAGAGAGTGAAGACAAGGCCGAAGACGGTGGACTAGGGAGGCCAAACTTAGTGCGGCCGACCCTCTACACTGCGTGTATCTTAGTTCTTTAGCAATGCTGAGCAGAAGCCACAGTGATGGCTTTAACAAATCAAAATTTATTCTTTCACACTTCTGGAGGCTAGAAGTCCAAGTTTAGGGTGCTGACTCTAGGAGGAAGCTTCCCTCTGTGTCTCCTGGTTCTAGGAGCTTCCCTGCACAGGGACCTCGGTCCAGAGGATGCCCTCTCTCCACTTCCAGCCCCTCTCCTTTCATCTCTTGTTAAGAGAGAAGGTGATGCAGGCCACACCCCAGGGAGACCCCTTACATCCCTCGAGGCTGGGCGCTAACCCCACCCCGACCCCCCTGACCGCTGACCAGTGATCATATCAGCTCACATCGCGGGGATGACCACCTCACAGCAGCCTCCAGTCCTGACTCGTTACCGTCAGAGCTGAGAACTGACAACCTTGAGGAACACGCTGCTGAGAAGTGGGGCCTTGCCCAGTGGACGCATGTTTCAGGGGACACAGTTCCGTTCCTGACAGAAGCTAAGAGGCCCATGACTGCATCCCGTGTTTGTGCCCAGGTATCTGAAGTACACGCTGAACCAATGCGTGGAGAATGACTACACCCTCGTCTACTTCCACTATGGGCTCAACAGCCGGAACAAGCCCTCCCTCCGCTGGCTGCAGGGTGCCTACAAGGAGTTTGACCGCAAGTGTGTGCTGGGGCCTTCCCCGGGGCACGGGGTGGGCAGAGGAGGGGGTGAGCAGAGAAGGAGGCCATGGGCACTGAGAAGGTGGGGGAGGGTGACTGCTGGCCTAATGGAGGGCTGATCTGGGGGAGATCATCTCCATCAGGACAGGGGCTCTGGTCTCTGGGATAGGGGTCAGCAGACTTGTCTCACAAAGAACCAGATGGTAAATAAATCAGCTTTGTGGCCTCTGCTCTCTGTCTAGCTCTGCTGCTGGAAATGAAGCAGTTCATAAATTAATAGGTGGGCTGAGTTCTAGCAGGACTCTATTTATATGAACACACAAGGTGAATTTCATCCCACTTTCATTTACCCTACGCTGCTTCCCTCCTCCTGCCAGATACCTCCCATCTTCCCAACCCACTCCCTCCTCCACCCATCAAACCACATGCCCTTCATTTGACATTTTACCCTCAACCCTTTAAAAAGTCAGCCTATGCAGACGGTGAGCTACGCTTGGTCCTCAATCCTGGGCTAGGGAACAAGAAGCAGGATTGAGAAACCATCCCTTCAGCAATGCCCCTCCGGTGCGCAGAGCCAGTATCAGATCCAGGAGCGATCTTGTGTTCCTGCCTGGTGAGATGAGATGGGAAGTTCCAACATACAGATGTGGACACAGAGGTCCAGCAAGCCGCTCACCTGCGCCCCTCAACCACGGTCCCACCTCCCTCCCACCCCTCACTCCTCCATCTGCAGCTCAGGCACCAGCTGCTTCACCAGAGGTGGCTTGCTCTATGATCCACTTTGCTGGTTGGCTGGTAGATGAGCTTTAACGGTGTCCTGAGTACCTCTGGGGTTTCAAAGCCTTCTCAACCCTACAACAGAGTGAGGTCCGATCCCCAGACTTCAAAGGAGTCTTTGAGGCACAGCAGAATAAGCACTGGGTTGCTAACCAAAGAGTCAGCAGTTGAGATCCACCACATAGAGAAAGATGAAGGAGTCGGCTTGTGTAAAGATTTACAGCTTGGAGACGCTGTGGGCAGTCTGCTCTGTCCTTCCTGCAGGGTCACAGTGAGTGGGAATCCACACAGAGCAATGCGCTCGCTGCCATTCCAGGGAGGGAGGCGCAGAGGCAGCCCTGGGTTTCCCTCTCCCCTCCTCTCCCTCCCTTCCTCTCTTCCCTCCTCTCCCTCCCTTCCTCCCCTCCTCCCTCCCCTCCTCCTCCCTCCCCTCCTCCACCTTCTCTTCCTCCCCTCCCTCTTCCCCCTCCTCTCCTTCCCTTCCTTCTCTCCTCCCTCCCCTTCCCTCCTTTTCCTCCCTTCCTCCCACCTCCTTTCCTCCCCTTCCCTTTCTCCCTCTCCCCTCTCCCATTCTTCTCCCTCCCCTCCTCCCCTTCCCTTTCTCCCCTCCCTCCTCCCCTCCTTCCTCCCACCTCCCCTCCTCCCCCTCCCACATTCTCTCCTCCCTATCTCACTCTCCCCTCCTCCTCCCTCCCCTCCTCCCCCTCTTCCTCCCCTTTCCTTCCTCCCCCTCCTTTCCTCCTACCTCCCTTCTTCCCTTCCTCTCTCCTCCCCTCCTCCTACTCCCTTCTTACCCCCTCCTCCTCGGACTCCCTCCCACCTCCACAGCCTTTGATTTCTGCACCAGTGGTTCACATGCAGCCAGTCAGGTGTGGGTTTTGAGCTGATTCCTGTGATAAGAACCTTTAGGCGTTGCTTGGCTTCCTGGCCTGCCTTACAGAGCTAATTATTCTTACATTCGGTGCCAAAGACTCCCTGTGGTAGTGCATTACAGCCCACAAGGTTGAGGGTTTGAATCCGCCAGGTGCGCTCCAAGAAAAAGTTAGAAATTCTCCTCTCGTAAAGATTTGCGGCCTTAGGAACCCAGGAGAGGGTTGTCACAAGTCAGAATGAGCTCGAAGGTGGTGGATTTGGTGTTGTGTGGTTAAGTGTCAGCCTCTGTGGGGATCTGGGACGACCCTGCCCCAGCTGTAGGCCTCCTTCAAGGAAGCTTGCCTGGATTTGCCTCTGTTCCTCAGCCCCACTGTCCCTCAGCAAACACTAACCCCTGTGCTTCAGAGCGGTATATTTGGGAACAAGTCTTATCCCCGCTCAGGCTGTGACCCCCGTGTCCTTCTGGCTCCCTTGCACCAGGGGAGGGTCTGTGCACAGCAAACTCTTTGGAAATTGTCAGTGAGGGAGCAGTGATGAGGGAGCAGCTTGGAATCTGGAGCTTTCCCATGCATAGCCCAAGGCTGCCTTTGGGCTGCCCCATGACGATAGTGCTTGGCACACAGAGATGGGGGGATTCTGCCACAATGTGTGGTCAGAGTAAGAAAAGGCCAGGTGACTAGGGGCAGTGGCTCGGGGCTGGACTTGGATTCTCATGGGAACTGTGGTCAAGGCAGCAGTGGGGGCAGGGGTGCTCTGGTGCTGGACCTTGTGAGGACAGTGGAGGCGGGGGGCGGGGGGGGGGGGGGGTGGGCTGTGCCCTGAGGTCTGGGCTGTGGTGCTGGATCTTCTCTTTTTTTTTGGCTTCTTTTTTGTTTGTTTGGTTGTTTTTTTAAATTTTTTTTATTATTCATTTCAATGAAAATTTACAGAGACTTTGGATTTCCATTCATTCGTTGTTATACTTTTCTCCCCTCCCAACCCTCCCCCCAAGTATACTCCCCTCTTGGAAAAGTAAAAGACAAATTTTTTCATTGTTTCACAATCCCTCCCCCCAGGTCCACTCTGGGGACTCCTGTCATGACAAAAATACCTAATCACATATCCCTCTTAAACAGTTTTCTCCCTCATCTGTTTCAATGCAGTATACATTATTTAACCCCTCTTTCTCAGTCTCCCCCAATCTGATGTCAGTCCTGTTCTACAACAGTTTTTGCTTCTTTTTAAATGTTCCTTTCCCCCTCCTCTGAATATTTTTAAAATTAATTTTAATGAAAGTCTACAGACTTAGGGTTTGCAGTCATTCATTGTTGCACTTTTCTCCCTGCCCACTTCCTTCCCCCATTCACTCTTCTCCTTGAAAAGTAAAAGAAAAACTCTTTCATTGTTCTACAATCCCTCCCCTCAAGTCCACTCCACTGTGCGGCCTTCATTCTGGACTCCTGTCATGACAATAATACCTAATCACATATCCCTTTTACACTGTTCTCTCCCTCATCTGTTTCAATGCAGTCTACATCTTGACAGAGAGGCAGGTAGGCTGTGTCCTGAGAGCCGGGCCAAGTTGCTGGACCTTGAATGGACAGCAGAGGGGGCAGGTGGGCTGCACCCTGAGGGTAGAGCCATGGGGCTGGACCTTGTTACAAGCAGCAAGGACTGGAATGACAGTTGAGGGACATTCGGAAGCAGCAGGGGGGGCATGTACAGAAGGTCTTTCTTGAACATGTATATTCACACATGTTCAGTCCCCAACTCACGCCACCCACAAACTACCCTCCAGGTTCCCTGAGGCGAGAGCCTCTCACCCCATCCCCGGCTGCAGACATCAGCCCCAGGAAAGTACTCGGGAAGATCAAGGCCTGCAGTGATGGGCCCCTTCCTGTCTGGAGGGACATGACACTAGGGCTGCTGTGTCCCACTCTAACAGTGGCCAGGGGCCATTTAGAGGGGCCCTGGTGGTGCGGGGGGTTAAGCACTGGGCTGCTGACTGACTGGTCTGTGATCTGTGGGAGGAGGAGGGAGACAGCTGATTCTGTACGGACTCCAGCTCCCTGCTCTCAAGTCAGTTCTGGCTCGTAGCAGGCAGCCCCCCAGTGGGTGGAAATCTCGACAATCCCACAGCTGGAAATCCCGAGAGGGAGCCGCTAAAGGTCCTGGACACCCGGGGACAGTCCTGCTCTGTCCCGCAGGGGCGCTGTGGATCAGGGGCGGCTCCACGGCAGTGGGTTTACTGTCCCTGTGGCAGGAAGCATCACAATTCCTGGAAAAAGGAGTCCAGCCTGGGGACTTGGGCTCTGTGTCATAGGGGGTGACAGCCGTGGCTTCACCAGGCCACACATGGGGACCACTGTGACCACTGTTGCTTGGCTTGGGTACCTTCACTGAGGGTATTGGGGAGAGATACCGTCCAGGAAGGAGGGCCACAGCAGTGAACCTGGTCAACGTGGGCCCTGGAGAGCCAGAGCAGGGCAGGAGGAAGGCCACAGTCCCAGTCAGGTGTCTAAGGGTGGGAGGCTCACCTGTTCCACGTGGCCCCCTCCCCCTCCTCCTGTGGGTGGACCAGGACCTAAGAGGGAGGCAAAGGACCATGGATCTTGACTCCATAGAAGGAAAAAGGGAGAAACATCCTACATGACAGAAGCATTCAGTGGCAAAGCATCTGTCTTAGGGTAGTGAGTTCCCCATCACTGGAGGTATGCAAGTACAGCTGTAAATCCAGTGACATGAGATTTATGCAGCCATGGCTTTTGGTCAGCTGTGTCCCTGTATTCTTTTCCATTCTCTCTGCCTCTGCCTCCTACCCTCCTGTCTTCGTGCCAGGCCAATCATTTTAAGGGAGCTCTGTGGCCTAGTGGTAAGAAGCTGTACTGCAATCCCAAAGGCCTGAGGTTCAAACCCACCAGCTGCTCTGAGAGGACTCATTAGGGTTCTGTGTTCCCCTTGAGTGGCAGTGGGTGTGAGGCCTGGTTCTCCTCGAGTTTGCGCCCCACCCCTTTTCTGCTACACTTCTTCCATTGACTCTGTTGAGATGGAATGTTCTAGGACGTTTGATGGGCGGTGACTACTGTGTGTGGGTTTGGTTAGAGTGTCTGTCTCCTGGCACAGGTACAAGAAGAACCTGAAGGCCCTGTACGTGGTGCACCCGACCAACTTCATCAAGGTCCTGTGGAACATCTTCAAACCCCTCATCAGGTTGGCAGCCCCGGGGGCCAGCTGCCTGGGGCAGAGATCTCATTTCCAGGTGTCACCGGGAGGCACAGGCCTTGTCTGGGTGCCTGGCAGTCCTGTCTCTGGGACACCCACCGCCCTGTAGGTCTCTGGTGGTCAGAGTGTGGTGTGGGTCTTCATCAAGACCACTGACCCTCAGTACAGGAAGGTCAGACTGTGATAGCTGCAGGGTTCACACCTGGTGGCTTCAAAGCCCCCAGACCCCAGCAGTGGCACCAGGCAGGGTTCTTCAGGTCTCCCCTCACCCTGGGGTCACACATGTCCACCTCAGCTCCAGAGGTCTCTAGCAGGACTCTGACCGACGGTTGCCCTTATAGTTAAGGTCCATTATTATTATTCTTCTTCTTACAATGAGAGGAGGCAGATGGAAATTGGCCAAAGCCATACATAGTGCATGAGGCAGCATCCAAGAGTGACCAGGGCCCGCTTCAGCTATCCTGTCCTCCCCTGTGGGGTCTCAGTCTCCGTGTGTCACAGGCAGCGACTGAGCTGCCACCCGGGGTTTCTCCAGGAGTCAGGCGCAGGGATGTGAAGTGCCCACCTGGCTGATCCAAGTTCTTCCAGCCTCTCCAGGGTCAAACTGCTGCCCAGAGGCGCAAAGTCCCCACCCATCACCCACAACATTAGCATACACTGCCTGATGCATCGCTAAGTCCCAGCGTAGAGCACCTCATCTGTGTAGATGACCGGGCTTGGCCAAGGCCCTGGTAAACAGGCCACCTCTGCAAACCAGGATTCCAGGACTGGAGGTGTCCTCCCAGGAGCAGATCCAGGATCAGACTGTTTTTAAACAATATGTGGGATTCAGACAACCCAGCCCTTTACTGCTCGGCCATTCAGAGGCCACAGAGATGCGCTAGGCCCCACCCACTGCCCGTCCTGCCCCCTGTGAGCACCTGCGTGTCCTCTGTCTTGGCCAGATCCATCAGGCACCAGCTGTCACGAGGATGAGTTCCATTTGTCCTGTGCGGTGTGACCAGCACTCAAGTCCTGAGCCTTAGCTGAGGCAGCAGGGCGGCCAGTCCTGACCGCTTCTCTGTCCAGAAGACTTCACGTGCTCCACTCTGACCCCTGAGTCAGCTCCAACCCAAAGTGACCCCACACACAGCAGAGGCAAACACTGACACTGAGTCACCCACACAGTTGTTGCTATGGCCAAGGCCATTGTAGTCTCTGGTTCATCCATCTCGTTTAAAGTCCTCCTCCTTTTCAGTGGCCTTTTTTCTACTTTACCAAAGTCTGATGTCCTTCCCCAGGGACTGGGCCCTGTCCATAACCTGTCCGCAGTACGTGAGGTGAAGTCTCGCCGTCCTCACCTCTGAGGAACATTCTGGTTGAACGCCTTCCTTCCAAGACGCCTTCTTAGTCCTGGTGAGGCTTCATCTCACACTGTGGACACGTTGTCAAGAGGGGCGAGTGGACCTTAGAGAGTTGGAGAAGTAGAGGTGTAAGAGGAGAGGAAGCCCCTCAAGGAGACAGGCTGACTGTAACCATGAACTCAAGCATCAGAGACGGTGTGGATGGCACAGGACAGGGTAGGGTCCTGATCTGTTCACTCGGTGTCTGTGATTTGAGTCGGCTCCATGGCACCTAACAACAGCAGCTCTTTTCTCTTCCAAGCTGGAGAGGAATTCACACATGTCCTTGGAGAGGGGGCATGATGTCCCCGAGCCCTGTGGAGTCTGGATGGTGGGCAGTGAGGACGCCTCCTGGGCCCCTGTTTATGCACCATCAGAACTCTCAGGGGTTCCAAGCCCTGGTAGGGTCTGCCCATGTCCCTGCCCTTGCCCCTGTCACGTGCTTTGGTGGCTATCTGTGTCCTGAGCCTTGAGAGTCCCTTACACCCCACACCCTGCACAGAGAGGATAGAAAGGGTCAGTCCTGGCCTGTTCCTCTCTCATCCACTGGAGGGAGCCCACGCACAGCTCGGCCACTGCAGGGGTGAGCGGACGGTGTCCAGCTCCTGAGGCATCAGCCTGGGGACGGGGCTGCCTCCTGGGTCCTCGAACCCGCGTTTCAGCTCCATTGACCCATTGGTCAGGCTAACTGCTCCCAGAAGGGGTACCAGAACCACGCTCACTTTACAGCTGAGGAAATCAACCCTCGTTAGTAGCAATGATGGGCACAAGTGTGGGCAGTGTGCCCACCGTCTTCAGTAACTTCTGACTCACAGTGACCCTGGTGATCACAGTCACAGAGCAGGACTGTCTGACGGGGTTTCCAAAGCTGGAATCCTTATGGAAGTAAACTGCCTCCTCCTCCTTCCCCGGAGCGGTGGTGTGTGGTTTTGAACTGCTGACCGTGAGTTTAACAGCCAAGCATTTTAAACCACTTCAGCATCAGGCCACCTTAAGTAGTGTTCACGATAGCTTCACTCTGTCCAGCTGACTGGAAAGGGGGAGCCCGCTTTCAGGGGGAGCCGAGGCCACTGGAGGTAAAGTAAGACACTGGACCTAGCTTCACAGCTGTTTAGGGCCCTCAAGTCCTGGGGTTCAAACCTAGGACAGAAGGCCCCTCAGTATTTGCAGAAAGACTGAGAACAATTAACCTGGAGTCAAGCTGAAAGACATTGATTTATTGCTTTGGGGGGATTTATGTACATGAGGAATGGACAATGCTGGGTCCAGACAGCCGTTCAGATCTGTCCTCGGGTCTTCGGAGGAGCCCAGAAAGGCGGGTGGTTGGAGCCCAGAAAGGTGGGTGGTCAGATCCCAGAAAGGCGGGTGGTCGGAGCCCAGAAAGACGGGTGGTCGTCCAGGGCACAGTGTGTGCTTTCAGGCTCTTGTACTGTTGTTGTGGGTCATCCAGTCAGAACCAACCCATAGCTGACCCTCCAGCAAATGTTCAGAGGCTGTAAATTCAGAGGAGATCTATCCTCCCGGGAAGCATCTGGTAGATTTGAACCCTGGGCCTTTGGAACTGCAGCACAGCTTCTTACCACTATTGCCACCAGAGCTCCCAGGAAGCCATCCGGGCAGCTGCATTCTTTGTTGTAAGGTTGCTTCGAGGGAGCTCTGGTGGTCCAGGGTGCTGCAATACCAAAGCCAGGCAGCTGCAATCAGGCACACTGGAAGGTCCTTAGAGGGGGTGGAAAGACAGAGGCTAGATGGCCATAGAAGGGCCGAGGGAGGGAGACAGTGGGTGACACAGCTACAGACCCGGGAATACCTGGGGCCCCAGAGGTGGAAGGAGCCAGGAAGGGTCTCCAGGGTCTGCAGGGAACCGCGCAACTCTGTTGCACCTTGATTTGGAGTTGTGGCATTGGGAATTGTGGATGAATGAATTTCTGTGTGTTTAAGCTATTCAGATCCTATGTTCCCACATGTTCAGGTCCCCTTCTACAATAGCAGTGACCCTGAGACCTTGCCTGGCACCTGAGACCCCCCCCCCCAGAGGGGACCTGTCTCCACCCCATCCTCTCAGCCCTCTCTGTGCTTGGGGCTTCTGTTTCCCTGCTAGTCCCCAACCCCCAGTCTCTTGTATCTATGCAAATTCCTACTGAAGGTGAGTATTTATTTGTATGTAGATGAGACTCAGAGTGTTTGGCACAGTGGGGGACCCTGGGGAAGCCCCGCTCCTCTGGATATGGGCTGCCTTGATTATAACTGTATTTAAATTGTGTCAGTGTTTACATTCCTTTAATATGAAGAATGTTGCCGCTGCCTCTCCATGGCCAGCTCCCCACTCCCCTGGCCCCCAGTCTTCTGTCTGCGGCCAGCTCTCCCTCCCCAACCCCTGTCCCCCAGCCTAGCTGCTACTTCCTGATCCTTTCTCTTCTTGTTTGCTTTTTTCCAGCCACAAGTTTGGGAAAAAAGTAACTTACTTTAATTACTTGAATGAGCTCCGAGAACACCTCAAATGTGATCAGCTGGCCATCCCCCCGGAAGTGGTGCGGTGAGTGCTGCTCAGAGCCCACTGGGGCACGGGGAAGGGCGGGGAAGGTGCTTATATTCCTGAGGGTCTTTCTGTCCAGGATGCTAGGAGCTGATTTCCAATGTGCGCTCTGGCTCAGGAACCTGTAGCGTTTACACGGGTGGGCAGAGGTGCTGCCCGGTGGCCAGAGAAGTAAGTTGGTGCAAGGTCATCTGTGGCAGGTCCTCCCCACCGCTGGGGACCCCGTGCTGGCCACTGCCATGATGGTGCTTGAGCAGAGAGTTAGGGGAACTTCTCAGCACAGGTGAGCTGAGCTGTGAGCCTTACAGGTGTGTCTGCCACTTCATTGTATCCACCCCAGAGCCTCAGCTGGGGAGGGAGGAGAGGGCAGAGGATGATTACTCCGGCCCTAAGCTCTGTCATCCCATAGGTCACTGTGTGTCCCCCTTCCTGGGGCACCTCCACATGAGCAGACCCTCAGCAGCCCTGACAGCTGTGGAGCTGTGTCTGTCCCTCCTGCATTTCGAGGTCACCTTCTGAATGCTGGGGGTGGGGGTGTGGTGTGGAGGAGGGGCAGCCCTTGGCTTCAGGCAGAAACAACAAAGACTGTAGGAAGCCCAGAACTCAGTTGGGATGCAGGTGGTAATCAGGGAAAGCTGCTTGGAGGAAGTGACTTTAAAAAATGTAAAAGACGTTTTGGTGTAGTTGTACCCAACAAAGCATTACATGTTCAACACATTTATGCGTGGAGCTCTGGCCCTAGGCCCTGGCTCTAGAGGGGACTCCACTGGGAAACAGCACTGCGTGCCTGCTCAGCCCCCTGATTCTCTCGGTCAGCTCAGCCTTGGCCCTCCTGACCCCCTAACCCCCATCCCCCTGACTCCCACCATCCTCCTGACTCTCCTATCCTCCTGAATCCCACCATCCTCCTGACTCCCACCATCCCCAACTCCCACCATCCCCCTGACTCCTACCATCCCCCTGATTCCCACCATCCCTGACTCCCACCATCCTCCTGACTTTCCCATCCTCCTGACTCCCTCCATCCTCCTGACTTTCCCATCCTCCTGACTCCCTCCATCCCCGACTCCCACCATCCCCCTGATTCCCACCATCCCTGACTCTCACCATCCCCCTGACTCCCACCATCCCCTTGACTCCCACCATCTTTATGACTCCCACCATCCTTATGAACCCCACCATCTCATGACCCCCCCATCCTCTAGATCCCCACCTTCACAGGCTAATGGACATCACAGATTGGGGTGACCCACTGAATGGAGGTTACTCTAGATCCCCACCTTCACAGACTAATGGACATCACAGATTGGGGTGACCCACTGAATGGAGGTTATTTTTTCTTAAAGGAGGTGCCCCCTCCCCATCAGTGTATCCTTTCTCTTCCCTGGCCCTCTGTTCCCCCACGTGTGTATGTGCTCCTGTGACAGATCGTGACCTGCCCTGCGTAGCCTGGACCTGACCTCACTTGTTTCTATTCCTCATGAGGTGATGAGGGTCCTGGCCAACTTGGTGGCAGCTCACAGTGACGGCAGTGGGGCCGGGCATCAGGCTGCCCTCTGTCGGTGCACAGACCCAGGATGGGGGCTGCACAACCCTGAGTGTGTGTGTACTGTGCACATATGTGTGTGCACGTGCATGTGAGGTGGGCCCGTGGCCCTGCAGTGAGCGCCCACCGCTGTGTGTCCACAGGTATGACGAGCTGCTCTGGAACCTGCACCGGGGCACCCTGCCCCCGCCCACCAAGACCCCGCCCCCACGGCCGCCCCTGCCCACCCAGCAGTTCGGCGTCAGCCTGCAATAGTAAGTGAACCCCAGAAGCGACCATTGCTGCATCCTCGGATGTGGTGGCTTCTGTCTGTGTCCAGGGAAGTGTCCTCAGAGGATGTGTCCACTGCAGCCACACAAACCTAGAGGACGACTGTAGCCCCAGTGGGTGGACGAGGCTGCTTCTGCCAGTGTTTGTGTGTGTGTGTGTGTGTGTGTGTGTGTGTCCATGTGCCATGAATGGAGGGCACCTGACCAGCTCTCAGCTTTGTCATGGAGTGTCCTCTGAACCTTGGGCCAATGATCAGTGACTCGCTCTGACCTTGGACGTGGGAGTGCCCACGCTCCTCAACTGGTTACCACACCAGCATGTATCACTTTGTAAGACCTTTGGGAATGTGGGAGAAAGACCCCAGTGCACGCCCAGGATGCTGCCCCCCAGTACACCTGGGGGAGGTCCTCCCCCCTTCTCCAGGGGCCCATCTGCACTGTCCGGCCCTTGTGTGTATGTGGGGTGGCACGCTGGTGAGAACAGAGCCAGGCTAGCCACCCAGGGCTTCCCGGCCATTCTGGGACTGGTGACTCTCCTGGTTTCTAAGGCTGCCCCTCGTGGCCACTGCTCTCAGACTTTGGCTTCTGGTGTGGCTGCAGCCCTGATGGAATGACCATCTCGCCCTCCCTGGTTGTGACGATTTCAGTGTGAGCTTGGCTCCTTCCGTGGACTGGCATTTCCTCCATCTGTTTCTGAACCTGGGGGCTCTAGCAGGGCCTTTGGGGCCTCCTGTCCCGTTATTCTGCTGGTGCCAGGTTAACAGGTTAAATGTAGGCTGCTAACTAAAGGCCAGAAGGGTTAGTGGAAACAAGACTCACAGGGAGGAAGTGGGAAGAGTGGCTGCACTGTGAGTATTGTAATTGATGTCACAGAACTAAATGTGCCTGAATGAATGGAAACTTAGTTCACCTTGCAACAACACTTTACACAAATAATAGCAGAAAGGGAGAAAAAAGAGCTTAAAAAAGGAAGCAAGACATGCATTAAAGTGTTTTGGCTTTAATTGTTACCTTATCTGCCTGTTGCAGGGCCAAGTATAATTGTCAAAATCCATTCACCATTCATGAGGGATGACAATAGACTATAGCGGCAAGAACCTGGGCTGCAATCCTAAAGGCATGTGGTTCAAGGCTCCACAGGGTGAAGGTGGGCAATCCCCTCCTGTGCAATTAATTGCCCCTGAAAACCCCCCAGAGGGTAAAACTATGGGTCAGTTCTGACTCTAGAGTACATAACAACAAGATCCATTCACTGTGTTTTTAGCAAACTGAGTAACATCGTGCAACCTATAAAAAAAGATTCTCTGTGCTACTTTGAGAGATAATCCTCTCAAGTGTGATCGCCTCTTTAAATGAATATTTTATGCTGTTGCGTTATAAAACCCCAAATATGTAACTTGTTTGGGCTCTGAATAAATGGAGGTCATTAAAATTCACAGCCGGGTCCTGTTCACAAATGTCATTTTGCTGAGCTCAGTTGGAAAGCTCGCTCACTCGCTCGCTCTCTCTCTCTCTTCTCTCTCTCTCTTCTCTCTCTCTCTCTCTCTCTCTCTCACACACACACACACACACACACACACACACACCTTATTTAATGTACCAAGGGAGAAGCTCACATCAGAGAGCTCGCTTGTTCACACCGCCTGTGGAAGGGGATGCAGACGTGTGTGGCTGTCATCATCGCCCTATCCAGGCAGGTGAGGGGTCATGGAGAGAGAAAGAGGTCTGCTTAGGGTGGGGGAGTGAGAGGATATCACATCTAAGATCTGGAACTTTCTAGGTTTGAGGAGTTGGACCAGTGCTTTGACTTCTCACTGCAGTTTCTTTCTCTGCTACTGGAGAGAAGCCCTGCCCAGCTCTCCTCTGTGCCACGGGGCTGACAGTCCTGCGTCAGAGCCTCCTCCACCAGGAAGACTCCTAGGTTGACTCCTCACAGATGGGGATGGTCGGCACACCTGTGAGGCTTGTGTGTGTCCCTGCCATCCCGGCACACTGTCAGTCTCTGACTGTGCACATACATGTACACACACATGCACATACGTGTACACGCACACATGTGGTGGCCCCAAGGTTCTATAGAAATGGGGAGCTGAGCAACCAGGAGCTCCTGTGACAAAAGGAAGGAACTAATGGGTAGTTCAAATGGTCTGCACTCCTCTGCTTATCAATAAAGGCTCGTGGTTCTAACCCACCCAGCCGTGCCACAGAAGAAAGGCCTGGCAACCAGTGTCTGTTAAGAAGGCAGCCAAGGGAATTGACCAAGCTCATTTCCATCTGGGCCCACCATGGTCAGGACCCCAGCAGGATGGTTTAGGGCTGTTTTCCGTGAAACATTTTGTGTCAAGTTTAGCTCCAAGGCCAAACCCACCCCACCCATTGCTGCTGGGTTGATTCCGACTCACAGCGACCCTGCAGTGGGTTTCTAAGGAGACAATCCCTTTCTTCCTCAGAGCAGCTGGTGGATTTGAACTGCTGACCTTTAGGTTGGTACTACACCGCCAGTTGGCTAGTGATGATAAGCTGTGCTGCAACCTCAGAGGCACCAGCTGCTCCATGGGAGAAGGGTGGGCAGTCTCCTCCGCTGAGACTCACTGCCTCTGAAAACCCACTGGAAGCCAACTATGGGTCATTTATGACCTGACAGCACAGCACTACCACCAGAGCGCCTTCCAGGGACAGCAGCTAGGACCTTAGGGCCCCTTGATACGGTTATTATTACGCTTTTGTTCCATGAAAACAGAATGCATGGTCTGTTCTTTCTTCTTCGTTCTGATGATGGTTTTCATTGTTCATAATGATACAAGGAGTTCTCAAGGTGACACCCGTGCTCCTTAGCAACCACTTTGGCGAGGTCCTCGACAGCAGGTTTGCCCCAAAGTAGAATGTCTTTTGATTCTTGACTGCTGTAACCATGGGAGTTAAACAACCCGTGGATCCAAGTAGATGAAATAACTGACAACTTCAGTCTTTACTTCCTCTCTCAAAATGTTGGCTATTGGTCCAGCGGTGAGGGGATTACTTTTCTTGATGTTGAGATGCAATCCGTATCGAAGGCTGTAGTCTTTGACCTTCTTCAGGAAGTGCGTCAAGTCCTTACTTTTAGCAGAAGCAGTTGTCATTTGTGTGTCACAGGCTGACTGCACAGCTTGCAATCCTGATGGGATGGCTCCCGGGTTACTCTTGGCCCTTGGTGACAACTGAATTAACATCCGGTGCAGCATTTCCTGGAAGCAAGCGTGGCATCCACTTCCGAAAGAGCTTGCCTTCAGAAACTCTATGAACTTGGGGAAATGATGAAGGTTATACAAGTGTTCAGGTCTTTCATTCATAGGGTCGCTGAGTCATCTACGACTCCAAGGCACTTAACAACAAACAACAGCATAGAGAGAGCTCGGTTGGGCTACGGCACAGAAAGCAATGCTACCAAGCCAAAGGTGGGAGGTTTTAATCTGTGGCCCTTAGACCTGGTTTTAATTGTTTTTTGCCAAACATTCTTCTCAGTGGTACAGCACTGGTCTGTGCATTGCTATACAGAGATAACTCGTGGTTGCTGTGATGCTGAACACTGTGACACTGATATCTCATATGCGATAATGGTTACCCATGGTGGACAGTGTTTGGTGGAGCTCCCCGATTAAAATAAGCTTGGAAGAAGGAGTGGCATGTTTTTATTGTTGTTGTTATTTGCCATCAAGTCGTTTGTGACTCATAGCGACCTTATGTACAAGAGCCCTAAATGCCGTTCTATCCTGTGCCAACCTCGCTGTCTCAAACACATTCATTCCGACCACTCCACTCACAGAATCGATCCATCTCATCGAGGGTCTTCCTCTCCTACACCGTCCCTCCACTCTCCCAAACATGATGTCCCTCTCCAAGGACCCCTCCTTGCAGCATGCACAAAGTATGTCAGACAAAGCTTCAGAATCCTTGACTCCTGGGAACATTCTGGCTTCACCCTCTCCAGGACAAACCTGTTTGTTCTCCTGGCAGTGCATGCTATATTCAGCACTCTTCTCCAGCACCACAGCTCAAAGGCATCGATTCTCTTTCTATCATCCCTATTCACTGTCTAACTCTCCGATGCATAGCATGTTATTACAAAGACTATAGCCCGGATCAGGTGCACCTTAGTCTCCAGCCTGACATCGTTGCACTTCAGTACTCTTGAGAGGTCCCTCACAGCTGACTTTCCCAATGCAATTTGTCTCCTGATTTCCTGGCTGCTGTTACCAAGAGTGTTGACTGTGAAACCAAGTAAACTAAAAACTGTTAACTATCTCAATCTCTTCACTATCCATACTGATGCTGCCAATTGGCCCAGTTGTGAGAATCTTTGTTTTCTTGATATTGAGCTTCAATCCATATTGAAGACTGCAGTCCTTGACCTTCTGCAGCAAGTGCTTCAGGTCCTCCTCAGTTTCAGCAAGCAGGGTTGTGTCATCTGCATAATGCAGGTTGTTGATGATTGTTCCACCAATCCTGATGCCGCATTCCTCCTCGTACAGCCCAGCATCTCAGATGATCTGTTCTGCATACAGATTGAAAAGGTATGGAGACAAAATACATCCTTAATGTATTTCTTGATTTTGAACCATCCAGTGTCTCCCTGCTCTGTTCTGACGACTGCCTCTTGGTCCAAGTATAGGTTTCGCATTAGCACAATCAAATGTTCTGTGATTCCCATTCTTCTCAGAGTCAGCCACAGCTTGTTGTGATCCACACAATCAAAAGCCTTTGCATAGTCAAGGAAGCACAGATACATATTCTTCTGGTATTCTCTGCTTTCTGCCAAGATCCATCTAACATTAGCTATAATATCCCTAGTACTACGACCTCTTCTAAATCCAGCCTGCACATCTGGCAATTCTTTGTTGACATATTGTTCCAAACGTTTTTGGATAATTTTCAGCAGAATCTTGCTTGCATGTGATATTAATGATATTGTTCGATAATTTCCACACTCTGTTGGGTCACCTTTCTTTGGAATGGGAATAAATATTGATCTCTTCCAGTCAGTTGGTCAGCTGGGTGTTCTCCAGATTTCCTGGCACAACTTAGTGAGCACATCAGGGCAGCGTCTGTTTGTTGAAATAAATCAGTTGGTATGCTGTCAACTCCTGGAGCCTTGTTTTTTGCCAATTCCTTCAGAGCAACTTGAACTTCCTCCTTCATCACCATAGGTTTTTGCTCATATGTCATTTCCTTAAATTCCTTTATGTCAGCCAATTTCTTCTGATGCAGTGACTCTGTGTATTCCTTCCATCTTCTCTTGTACTTCCTGGATCATTCAACATTCTACCCAAACTATCTTTAAGTATTGCCACCTGTGGCTTGAATTTGTTTTTCAGCTCCTTCAGCTTAAGAAACGCTGAGCGAGTCCGGCCCTTTTGATTTTCTGACTTCAGCTCCCTGCACATTTCATTATAGTATCTTGCTTTGTTGTCCTGAGCTGCCTTGTGAAATTTTCTGTTCAGCTCGTTGATGGCTTGATTTCTTCCTTTAGCTTTGACTTCTCGTCACTCTAATGCAATACTCAGATTCTCATCTGACATCCATGTTGGTCTTTTCTTTTTCTTTAGCCTTTGTAATGATCTTTTGCATTCTTCATGGACGATTTTCTTGATATCCTCCCAGAGCTCATTTGGTCTACGCTCATTGGTGCTCAAGGCCTCAAACCTGTTCCTGAGATGGTTTTTGAATTCGAGTGGGACAGACTTAAGGTCAAATCTTGGTTCCCATGGACTTAATTTTCCTCAACTTCAGCTTGAATTTGCATATGAGAAGTTGGTGGTCTGTCCCACAGTCAGCACCTGGCCTGGTTTTCACTGCTGATATTGAACTTCTCCAGCGAATCTTTACACATACGCTTCTGAAATTGTTTGCCTCTGGAAACCCTATGAACTTGGAGAAATGATAAAAGTTATACAAGAGTTCAGGTCTTTTGTTCATAAAGTTGCTATGGGTCGTCTACGACTCGACATCACTTAACAACAACAACAACCAGCATTTCTAAATGGGCTTTGGTGGCCTGGTGTGTTATGCATTGCACTGCTAACTGGAAGGCCACAGGTTCACGTCCACAAGAGAACCCTGAGCGGTGTCTTCCTGTAAAGAGGTACAGCCTCGGGACCCCACCTGAGGGTCTTCATGACCCAGATCACCTCGATCACAGTTTTGCCTCTCAGTTGGTTTTGTTTTTGAAAGTTTATAAATCATGCTGGTTTCCCATTCGATCATTCAAATGCATTTTGTTTTATAACATTAATTACAAATGGTAAGGTCATTAACAGGACGCTCTGAGAGTACAGTCTGGCGGGAGGGGAGGTTCTAACCCAAAGACCGTGCCCCCCTGGCCCAAATCCATCAATGGAGAAACATGGGTGACTCCTCCTGTGTGATTTACAGCCTTTGAAACCCAACAAGGGCCAGTGAGGAGTCCATTCCAGTGTGACAGCACTGACGTACTAATTACAACGTCTGATCAAAATGTACATTATCTTCTGAGTGAACCAGAAAAACCCCACAAAATCCAAAATGTGTATTAACTTTCCCTTCACTAACTTCTCTGTTAATATCTACTCCCCCTCCTCCTCCTCCACCTGGTAACTGTGTATAAACCTTCTGCTGACTTTTTTAAAAAATTATTAATTTCAATGAAAATTTACAGAGACTTTGGATTTCCATTCATTTATTGTTGCACTTTTCTCCCCTCCCAACCCTCCCCCCACCCCAGTACACTATCCTCTTAGAAAAGTAAAAGAAAAATTCTTTCATTGTTTTACAATCCCTGCCCCCAGGTCCACTCCACTATGCAGCCTTCATTCTGGACTCCTGTCATGACAATAATACCTAATCACATATCCCATTTAAACAGTTTTCTCCCTCATCTGTTTCAATGCAGTATACATTATTGAACCCATCTTTCTCAGTCTCCCCCCAACCCCGAGGTCAGTCCTCTCTTACAACAGTGGCACCATGCAGTATTTGTCCTTTTGTGACTGAGATACTTCACTCTCTGCTAACTTTTTATGATAGTAGGTTTTGTTGGGTTTGTTTGTTTTTATTTATTTTCTTGTTGTGTGCCATTGAATGAGATCCAACTGGCACAGGAGGGAATTGTCCCTCCTTCTCCAGCGGAGCATCTGGTGGATTCGAACTGTGTACCTTTGGGATTGCAGTGCAGCTTCTTGCCGCTAGGCCACCATATGATAGTAGTTTTCCACCGTATTTCACGAGCACCGGCAGGTAGTGGTCAGGAGGTGCTGCCCACCCAGAGCCACACGGTGTGCATCCAGTGGCTCCTCTCTGGGAAGAGGATGGGCGGTCAGCTCCGGTGCAGTGTCCTGCCTCTGAAACGCCCCTGGAGGGTCAGCTGTGGCTCTGTTCTGACACGATGGGACGTGGTAACGTACCATAACCGTCCTTTTGTGCCTGGCTTTTTTCACTTAGCACAATGCCTTCCAGATGCATCGTGTTATGTAGCACTTTGTGACTTCTTGATTGCGTTTTAGGGTTGCATAGTACTCCATTGTGGATGCACATGGTTTATCCATTCACCCACTGATACTTGGGTCATTTCGGTCTTTGCTGCACTGGACACGGGCATGCCTGTCTCTGCTCGTGTGGCCTCTCTCATTCTCTGGGATATGCACGGAGTAGTGAGATTGCTGCACCACGTGGCATTTCTAGTCCCAGCTTTCCGAGCACGCGATGGTCGTGCTGCCTCCCGTCAGACCTCACCCCGAGCTTCCCCTGTACATGTCCCGGCCTCTGTCCGCTAGCAGACTCCTACTCATCCCTCAAAACCCAGCTCAGACAAGGGCTCTGTGAAACCTCCCTGCTCTCCCCTGAGCCCCGCAGGCCTCACGTGTCTACTGGGGCTCTCAGAGGCCGGTGTGTCCTCTCTCGCTAACTCTGCCTCTCTTCTTGCCACTAAAGCCCCCTCCCTGCCGCGCCCACTGACCTGGGCTCATCTCTGTCCAGAATCTCAGTCTTGTGTTTTCTCAGGAGGGTGGAGCAGACCTGGCAGGACAGTGGGTTATGCAATGGGCTGCTAGCTGGAAAGTGGGTGATTCAAACCCACCAACCGCCCTGGGGGAGGAAGACGAGGCGAGGCTCCCATGGGTCAGCCTCGGGAACCCTGTGAGACGCTTGTGCTCTGCCCCGACACCTTGGGGGCTGTGTGTCTGGTGAGGCCAGGTCTCGTCACTCCTGAGGACCGTGCATGTGCCAGCTGAGAACCCCCTTTCCTCTCCTCTCAGCCTCAAGGACAAAAACAAAGGCGAGCTCATCCCCCCCGTTCTGCGACTCACAGTCACGTACCTGAGAGAGAAAGGTGAGGTGCCTTCAGGAGCGGGGGCGGGGAGGGACACCAGCCAGGAGGGGCCCGGGTGGCAATGCCCTGGGCAGGCCCTGGAGTAACTATGGCTTGAGTCCTGGGTGGATTCGAATCTTTAACCATGGGGTTAGCCCCCTGGAGTATCCACTGTTTATGCCACCCAGAGGCTTTGGCCAGAATGAGGAGTGGGAAGCTCATCAGATCTAGAGTGCTTACCTGCTGTCCAGGAGAGAAGGTTCTGGAAGACAATGGGGAGGACCTGTGAGGTGCCTGGAGTTTCTTCCCTGCAGGGCTCCGAACGGAGGGTCTGTTCCGGAGGTCGGCCAGCGTGCAGGTGGTGCGAGAGATCCAGAAACTCTACAACCAGGGTGAGCCTGTCCCTGAGGGCTGCTTTGCACCCCCACCAGGCCAGTGTGCCCAGCCCTGTGGTCTGCTCAGAGCCTCAGGGTGGGTCAGTGCAGGACCGGGGGAGTGAAGAGCCAGAGTAGTGCAGGGTGCGGTAACTCCAGGCCAGGTCTGGGAGGGGCCAGGAGTAGTGCAGGGCCAGGGCCGTGAGGGACTGGGGGTGCAGCTATGGGCCGCGGCAGTGCAGGGCTGGGGCAGCTCAAGGCCAGGGCAGTGAGGGGCTGGGAGAAGTGCAGGACTGGGGCAGTGAGTCACTGGGGGAAGGGGCAGCTTTGGGCTGGGGCAGTGAGCGGCCGAGAGTAGTGCAGGGCTGGGGCAGCTCAGAACTGGGACAATGTAGGGCCAGGAAGTGCGGGGCTGGGGCAGTGAGGGGCCAGGAGTAGTGCAGGGCTGGGCAGAGCTGGGACAGTGTAGGGCCAGGAAGTGAGGGGTTGGGGCAGTGAGGGGCTGGGGCCAGCACAGGGTCAGGGCAGCTCAGGGATGGGGTAGCTTGGAGCTGGGGTAATGAGGGGTGGGGGTGGCTGCTAGGCTGCTGAGTAGCCCGAGGGGAGACTTTGTGCAAGCCCACTGTGTGGGGCCCAGCGTGGACAGACATGGACACAGATGCCTACTCTGGCTTTCTACCTGTCCACACACGGCTTCCCAGAAGGCCGTCCCTCCTGCGAATGCTCGGGGGCCGTGTCCCCCATTCACATATCCATCCGGCTGTCCCTGTGTGCAGGGAAGCCCGTGAATTTTGACGACTACGGGGACATCCACATTCCGGCAGTGATCCTGAAGACCTTCCTCCGGGAGCTGCCGCAGCCGCTGCTGACCTTTGAGGCCTACGAGCAGATCCTTGGCATCACTAGTGAGGGCCTGGCCCTGGGAAGGGCCGGGGTTCCAGGGGTGACCCGAGAGCTGGGGGGGGGGGGGGGGGCCACGCAGGGCAGCAGGTGGGGCTCCAGGACCCAGGCATGCGCACTGCACGCTGTCCGTGTCCCTGCAGGTGTGGAGAGCAGCCTGCGCATCAGTCACTGCCGGTGGGTCCTGCGTCACCTCCCTGAGCACAACTACGTGGTTCTCAGCTACCTCATGGACTTCCTGCACGCGGTGAGTGGCAGGTGACAGCTCAGCCAGGCCACATGCACAGAACCGGGAGCCTGTGCCCCCAGTCACGGCCATGACACACGCACGGAGCACGGAGCCTGCGCCTCAGTCACCGCCATGATCATGGCCATAGTCAAGGTCACACACACAGAGCCGGGAGCTTGCAACTTCAGTTGTGGCCATGCTCTAAGCCTGGACCCTGCGCCCTCAGTCGTGGCCGTGCTCTGGGTCGGTCATGACCACGATCATGGCCATAGTCAAGGTCGCACGCCCAGAGCCTCTAGCCTGTGCCTTCAGTCGTGGCTGCGCTCTGAGCCTCGAGCCTGTGCCCTCAGTCACCGCTATAATCATGGCCATAGTCAAGGTCGCGCACACACAGAGCCTGGAGCCTGTGCCCTTGGTTACAGCCATGCAGTGCTTCACAGCTCACGGGGATGTGCTTTGCATGTGCGCACAGCACTTTACACTTGACAGTTCATGGGGAGTCCTGCCCCTGACAGTGTATCCCAGCCACCATTGAGGTGACCCAGGAAGGAACTGCTTGGAGAACAGGAGGTGCCAGCTGCAGAGCCCCTTCCCTGACGGCCACTCCCCACCACACGCACGTGTGCACACACTCACATGATCATTCAGTCACATATACCCCTACGTATATGTTCACACACACATTTGTACCATCATGTCCACTTACACACAGATTTCTACTCACAGGCACCCTCGTATGCACATTTTCTTACGCACACTCACCGACACACGTGCATGCATACATGTAACCACTCCTGAAATCACATGCACACACACACGCGCTCGTGTACAGTAATGTGCACTCACACTCATCGCTCACACACACGACTCATGCATGCTCCCTCACATGCACTCATGCACACACACTCTTACGCATTTGCACATATTTCCTCACTCATGCACACCTGTGTCCACTCACACACATAGAAATGTGCTTTTGGGGTATCTGAGCAGAGAGCAGGCTCCTCTCCTGACCCCAAACCCAGTGGTCACCACATCACAGGACTCCCTGTCCCAGGCGCTCTCCTCCCACGCGGGGGCCCCCAGCGCCCTCTGCTAGTGGTTCAGCAGGGTGAGACGGCCAGGCCCCTTCTGGGTGAAGCCTCAAGCCACATTCCCCACTGTAGCAGACCTCCACTCTGAGTAGGGGATTGAGGGAACCCCAAAAGGCAGACCAGGGAAGGTCAGAGCCAGAGGAGACCTTCTGAGGGCACTGAGTCCCTTCTTGTCACAGATGGGGAAACTGAGGCAGAGTGGGTGGGGCCACACAGATGGCTGTGCAGGTTGGGGGTCCAGGCTGGGCTGTTCCTGCTGCACAGAGAGTCGGGGCTCCCAGTGCGTCAAGTTTACCTTTCTCACCTGTTCCCCCAGGTGTCCCGGGAGAGCATCTTTAACAAAATGAGCAGCTCAAACCTCGCCTGTGTGTTCGGGCTGAATCTCATCTGGCCCTCCCAGGGGGTGTCCTCCCTGGGTGCCCTCGTGCCCTTGAACCTGTTCACAGAGCTGCTCATCGAGTACTATGAGATGGTCTTCAGTGCCCACGAGGCACCTGTGGAGCACACACCCAGCTCTGCAAAGCCGGACAGCCTGGCAGCTCCATCCCCCCCAGGGTGCGCTGGAGATGGGTCCTCGGCCAGACTCTCTAGGCCTGTGGTGCCTCCATGTCCCCTGCCTGCAGCCGAGAGTCACCTCTAGCAGGAAGAGCCACGTTCAAGGCCAGTCTGTGTCCGTTTCATGTGCATCATCAACTTGCCAGCTGTGACAACACCCTGGCATTAAATGTACCCAGAACTTGACAGCGGGAGAGATGTGGTTCTCATCCTCTGCCCTCCTCCCTTGTTCTTGTCCAGGGCACCAGCCCATCACCCCACAATACCTCCTTGGAAGTGGGAATTGCTGTCTGGTGCTCGCAGCTACTGCTGGCATTGGGTGTCACCAGCCACCCAGACCCTGGGACAGAGAACAGACATTCCCTGGACACTGTATGGACTGAGAGTACCTCTCTCCTCCTCTGGCCAGGACACAGTCATGTGCCTGGTGGGAGGTGGGCACCATCAAGCCCAGCTCCTGGGTCCTGCCGTTGTCCTTCCAGTGGGCGGAGTGGGCGCAGACACTGGGCATGGCACTAGTGCACCCATGTCTGTTCCCAAGATAATAAAGCGAGCCACAGAGCCAAGCTCAGAGCCAGAGGGCATAGCAACACTCTTTGCCAAAGGGGGTGCATGGAGAGGGACCTTTATTAGCCAGGGTTTTCTAAACAAACAGAAACCACAGTGTATGAGGGGTCTAGTGGCTTCATGGCTAAGTGCTCAGCTGTTAACTGAAAGGGCAGAGGCATAACCCACCAGTCCCTCTGCAGATGCGCTGGTCCTCTCCTGCACAGCCTGGGAAACCCTGAGGGGCAGCTCACCTCTCTCCTACAGACACTCGAGGTTGGCACAGACTCGATACCCATGGCCACAGGCTTGGGTACCATTATAAAATCAAATAAAAAAACAAAAACCTCTGCCAGTTTCTACGAAGATGGTGTGGAAAGTGAAGAAGGAAGCCCCTGCCCCTCCCAAAACTGAAGCCAAAGCAAAGGCATTAAAGGCCAAGAAGGTGTCCTGAAGGGCATCCACAGCCAAAAAAAAAAAGATCTGCACGTCACCCACCTTCTGGCGGCCTAAGACGCTGAGACTCCGACGGCAGCCCAAATACCCCCTGGAAGAGCGCCCCAGGAGAAACAAGCTTGACTACTTTGCCATCATCAAATTTCCCCTGACCACTGAGTCAGCTATGAAGAAGGTAGAAGATAACAACACTCTTGTGTTCATTGTGGATGTCAAGGCCAACAAGCACCAAATTAAACAAGCTGTAAAGAAGCTCTATGACGTTGATGTCGCCAAGGTCGACACCTTGATCAGGCCTGACGGGGAGAAGGCCTATGTTCCACTTGTTCCTGATTATGATGCTTTGGATGTTGCCAACAAAATTGGGATCATCTAAACTGAGTTCACTTGGCTAGTTGAAAATATTTTTTTTCCCTCATGAAAATACTCCAAAGCCTTCACTGCCATAAGGTCAATTCTGAATCATTTCCAAAACTACAAATATTAATGAGACTTTGTACCTTTCTCTCAGAAGTAGCTGGTGGATTTGAACCTCCAGCTTTCTACGTTACACGACGTTTCCATTATAAAAGGGTTATTAAACAGATAAGAAAGGAGAAGGGAGGTAAAAGACCAACATGAATGTCAGGAGAGGTTCTAAAATGTGCCCTTAAATTAGAGAAGCTAAAGTGAATTGAAGATGATGATATAAAGAGCTGGGCAGAATATTTTTAAAGGCAGCAAATAAAGCAAAATTTTACAATGAAATGTGCTAAGACCTGGGGTAAGAAAACCAAGAGGGAAGGACATGGTCAGAATGTCTCTGCTGGGAGAATGCAGAGGATGGACAATTCAAGCCCCGAATGACACCAAAGGATTTTGTGGGGGAAGCACTGGACGCAGCAGGAAGCACCGTAAGACATGGAAGGAATCTGCAGAGTCACTGGGGCAGAAAGAATCGGTTCATGATCTCCCAGTTCAACATAGAAACAAACTCATTCTCGTCGTATCGGAGCTGACTCATAGCTGACCCTCCAACAACGGGGCAAGTCGTGTGAGAGGAAACTGTGCATCTCCCTTAAAACCGCTGCCGGATTCACCCCGCCAGAGGGGTGCTGCCTGTGGGTGGGCAGCAAGTTCCTGTGAACTAGGCCCCACGCTGCCTCCCCCATTCAGGAGACAGCACGTGCTCACCAGCCGATGCTCCTGCAGGAAGAAGTCCAGGCCGACCGCAGTTACAGGCAGAAGACCTGCTGAGACACGTCAGCAGACAGACGCAGGCTGGACAAGTTTGCTCACCTGTGCTAACAAATCTGGGAGACAGCTACCTGGCCACCTGCTTGGAAGAGGTCTGTATTCGTGTCCATGCAATGAAAGGTGTTTCAGTGCAGAAATAACTAGACTTAGCATCATGTACAAGGAAAGTGGTCCTGAAGACAATTGAAAATTATTGCAGCAGTGCCTTGAGGGGGGTCTGCCAGAGCCCAGAGCTGCATCCAGACGAGGCAATGGAATGAGGGGAGAGTAGAGACATCAGCAAGATGCTTACCCGAGTGAGGCAGAGATTCAGCAGTGTGAATCGACACAGCATTGATCATTTTCTGTTTCTTATTGGAAAGAGTGGACATTTCAGAAGACTTGATTGAGCTCACGGGGAACTTGCACATAAACCAAAAGACATGCGTTTGAACAGAAAAAAGGGGACGCTACATGGTTTAAAATAAAAAGTGTGTGTCAGAGCTGTATCCTTTCTCCATACCCATTCAGTCTATATGTTGTTGTTGCTTTGTGCTGGCTAGTCGCCCGTGACTCAGGGCGACCCTGTGTACAACAGCTCTGAAGCCTGCCCTGTCCTGAGTCAGTCTCACTGACTCCAACACACCTACCCCATTGCCCCAGTCACTGTATCAGTTCATCTCATCCGGGGTTTTCCTCTCCTGTGCTGTCCCTCCACCCTTCCAAGAATGGTGTCCTTCTTCAGGGCACATCACATGGCTTCCTGGCCACATGCCCAAAGTATGTGAGCTGGAGCTTCAAAATCCTAGCCTCCAAGGAGAAACTTGCTTACATCCTCTTCAAGTTAATCTGTATATGGAGCAAATAATTTGAGACATTAGACTCTATGAAGATGTGGCATTAGGTTTGGAGAAAACTTCATCAACAACCTATATTATGCAGATAAGACAACCTAGCTTGCAGAAAGAGACTTGAAGAACTTGCTGCAGAAGATAAAAAACTATATAGCCTTCAACCTAGCTATAGCCTATTACATCTCAACACTGAGAAAACAAAAACCCTCACCACTGGCCCAATAGGCAACATCACAATAGATGGAGAAAAGATTGAAGTTGTCCATGATTTCATTTTCCTTATATCTATAACCAACATGCATGGTAGCAGCAGTCAAGAAATCAAAAGACAGGGGAGCTCTGGTGGCCTAGTGGCAAGAAGCTGCAACTACAATCCCAGAGGTGCACGGTTTGAATCCACCAGATGCTCTGCCGAGAAAGGAGGGGCAATCTCCTCCTGTACCAGTCAGATCCGATTTGACGGTACATGCACACAAAAATAATAAAATAAAATAAAATAAATATTTTAAAAAAAGAAATCAAAAGATACGTTACACTGGGAAAATCAGGATCTCTTCCAAGTCCTCAGGAGCAATGCTGTCAGCTTAAAGACTAAGGTGCACCTGAGCTGAGTCATGGCATCTCCCATCGCCTCGTCTGCATTGAAAATTGGATGATGACTGAGGAAGACCAAAGAAGAAGTGAGGCCTTTGAATTGTGATGTTGGCAGTGAATATTAATGCACCATGGACTGTTGGAGAATGAACAAGTGGGTCTTGGAAGAAGTAGCCAGAGTTCTCCTTAGATACTGATGAAGTCCCGCTGCCCATCCCTCCCTGTCACAGTCACTCTCTCCCTGTTTCTCATACCCCCCTCTTCAGGGCACACTCCCCGATTCCTCTCTGTAGTTCCCCAGCTGACCTTCATTTCCTCCTCACGTCTCCATCCATCGCGTCCTTTGTTGGTTCTGGCTTTAGATGTTGTGACTAGGCTCCGTCGTGGCTCAGTTGAAGTGGTTTGAACCTGTGAGCTGCTCCTCGGTGGAAAAGGCGCGCAGGCGTACAGGGGGAGCCAGTGGGCAGGTCTGCTGTTCCACAGGGTCACTATGACTCAGAATCGACTGACCAACACCCAGCAATAGAAAGCTTTATGGACGCCGGTCACCAGGCCTGTGCTTCCCCCAGCACCACTGTGGGGTCAGAAGCCACAGGACCTGTCCCCTCTGCCTGCCTCTTCAGGCTCCAGCCCTCCGTCCCTCTCAGCTCATCTGAAACACTCTGATTGCTCTTGTGCCTCTTGACGAGTGGTCTTGTTTCTTTTCTTTTTTATTTATGTCCTTTTGTTTTTTTAAATAACCCTCCAGTTCTGAGCAGACACGTCCAGGCAGAGTGACCACCCTCGCCCTGACCAGGGGCCTGCACTCCAGCCCCGCTCCTGCCTGGAAGATTCCCCAGCATCTGTATCCCTCCCTCAGGATGGGATTCCCCCAGAACTCAACTCCGAATGGCCCTGCCCTGAGGCCTCCAATTCTGGCACCAGAAAAGCTAGAAAATACGAAATAAAAATGATGACTCCCTTCAGCGCCCATGAATGGCCGTATTAACGACACTAATAAGCCTCGCCTCGTGCAATATGCAGCAGGCTCACAGCCAGACGTGCTCGAGAAATATGTTTCAAATTTTCTGACCCTAAGGGGTGACCCAGCTGTCCCTCCATTGTCCCTGAGGAGACAGCTGTCCCAGGAGCATGCACCAGGGTCTTGTGTCAGAGTGCCAGGTCCTGAGGGCTCGTGGATATGGTCACCACATAAAGTGTTGTCTGCATGTGCAAATTTCTTCTTAAAATTAACTGGTGGACCACGACCACTTATTGTGATGGGTGGAGGGAAGACAGAGCGGAATGATGGATAATCAGACGGGATGTGCACGGTAACTGATGTGGGGCAGACGTGCGGGTATGATTGGGGCAGGCGTGGACTGTGTAAACTCCTGTACACCAGAAAGAACAAACCCCCCAATGGGGTGGGGCTGAAAGA